ATTATTAAAAATATGCCTACACAAGTTTCCAGATAGAAGAAAGGAAGGCAAGCAGGCAAGAAGGCAGGCAGGATACATCATGGTTAAATCTGATTATAGAAGGCAGTACATTTAATGCACTTTCCTCTTTTATTTACAGATCATAAGCACTTTATCTTGGCACACTGAAGATTTCCTATATACCTTTTCATAACAACTTATATTAAGCCCCTCTCCAATAACCTGAGTGATGGTATTGATTAAAAATTACTGCATTTTTCTGAGATGTATATAAAATAAAGCAATGCAATGTTGAAGAAATTAGATACATAGGTAATGCCTTTAGGTAATTTAAGGTGATGTGTCCATTTTACTGCATTATTAATCTCATCTTAGGTAAGCTATTTTGTTGTTTGTAAAACAATTTGAAATAAAGCCACATAATTTAATGGGCCATATTCAAGGGTGCAGCAAACACACATGTAGCCACAATACGTAGGTACAGTTTCATATCCAGCAGGTGGAGAGTGTTTGGATGTGAAGGCAATGTTTAAATTTCAGAATGTTTACAGATACATCCACTGTACACTAGAATACATAGAATCTGTTCACATATATTTGTAGATATATAAGCTTCTAAAACTGCCTTTTTTGGTCCTTTTCAGATGAAACGGAAGCGGAGAAGGCACCTCCACCAGGTTAGTTTAGACAAGACCATTAAGTTTTGGGTTATTCCTCACATTAGGAAATAAAATCACAACAAAGGGCCTATCTCTCCTTTGAAGAAAATTCAGTATGTTATACTTTAATCAGTTGGGAAAGAGAATCTAATAAAAGACAAACATGGTTTCCAGAGATGAGAGATTTTACTTTTTGGAAGAATACAGTTTGCAGAATCCCACAGCTAGTAGAGCCTCTGGCCATGCTGGATGTGACATTTGTTGTTGTTGTCCGACTCCCACCCCCCCCATGGACGGGAGCACGCCAGGCCCTCCTGTCTTCCACTGCCTCCCGGAGTTGGGTCAAATTCATGTTGGTAGCTTCAGTGACATTTGTAGGCCCCCAAAAAAGATCTTTTCCTATTTCTGATGAATTCTGGGTAAATTTATACTCTTATGTATATGCCAGTTCCATAAACTGTGCACATGTCTCTGCAAACTTGTGTTGTTAGAATGTATTATTTTGAGATACATTACTTACAATAGTTACAGCAGTGGCTCAACTAAAACTACAGTAACGTGCACACTTATCTAGGATTACTTCTATTCTTGACAATGGTTGATGCCAACATTATGGAGTTCTTTTCCTAATGTCTTGCTTTTATACAACCAACTTAGAGCTTCTTTCATCTCAGTTCATCAGCTGCTTTTTTGTTCAAAGCAACTTCTCAAAGTATTCTGCCTGCTTGCAATTGAGGCCCATACACCTGGCATCTGCATATGATTGTGAAAGGACAACCCTGAAAAAAATGGCTTTTCAGAACATTAAATAAATGAAACAAATAAACTTTGTGGGACTTGATTCCTCATAAATATACAGAGCATTAGGTGGAAAAGCACTCTTGATGTGGCCCTTTCTAGCATTTTGGCCTGTCTATATGGTTTGCACAGAATTTGCTGAACAGTCTTTCTTCTGCTCTGAGAGTTCAGCCACACAATAGTTTAAAATAATGTTCTGTTTGGATCAGACTACAGTGGTGCCTCGTATAGCAACATTAATTCGTTCCGCAAAAATTGCTGCAGAACGAAAACATCGCTATGCGATATTAAAAAGCCCATAGAAACGCATTAAAACACGATTAATGTGTTCCTATGGGCTTAAAACTCACCTTTAAGAGAAGATCCTCCATAGCGCCACCATTTTCGGTGCCTGTAAAGCGAGGAATCCGTCCCTAAACACAGCGGGCGGCCATTTTGTTTACCCGGTGGCCATTTTGAAACTGCCGATCAGCTGTTAAAAATCATCACTTTGCGATGATCGGTGCCCGAAGCAGGGAACCGATCATCGCAAAGCGAAATTCTCCCATAGGGAACATCGCAAAGCGATCACTTTTGCGATCGCAAAAAATGCATTGCAAAGCAATTTCATTGTAAAACGAAGCAATTGCTATGTGAGGCACCACTGTATATGACTTCCTGCTCTCACACTGCAGGATATATTTGTTAGTATTATTTGTCAGTTTAAGATCATTTTTGATTCCTGCAAATATGTGTGCATGACAGTAATCCAGGTGTGGAGTGGCTCAAACTCCCCTTCCCATTTTTTTTACATCTAAAATGTCACCCATAAACCTGTGCGTAAGTTTAAAGTGTATGTGTGGGCATGAAGAGGCTTATTAGAATCACTGGAGTTTCTCCTTTTTTAAACTATGTAGCTACACATTGGCTGAAATCCTACTGCATAGTATAGTGAGTTACACTAGAGTAAGTCCATTTAATCTGGGGGAATTTTGTGAGTCAGCTCCTCCATAAGTTCAATTGCTGTTCCCATAAGGCAATAGGTGTCAGATTTCCAGATAAAGATAAACTTACAATCAAACTCCATGCTGCATTAAACATATACTGGTTAAAACTCTGTTACTTAGCATAGAATATTGCACTAGAATAGGACCATTTGAATCAATGGAACTTATAGAGGAGTTGGCTGACTGGACCCCCACTGATTCAATGAACCTAATTTAGTGCAACTTTCTATGCTAAGCGATATAATTTCAGTCAATGTATGATTAATGTAGCATGGACTTTGATTGTAAGTTCATCTTCATCTGGAAATTTGACACCTATTGTCTTATGGGAACAGCCAGGGGACATTCCAACAGGGGCAACTGTGGATGAATGGCTTCCAACAAACTACCTCACAGGGGGATTCTTGAGCAGTACTTCCCTCCCACTGTGGGTTTACTTGCGGCACCCACCTTTTAAATTTCTGACAGTGCCTCTGGATGACACTGCACTGGATGATGCAGGGCATTATGGGACATAAGACATTTGTGAAGCTTCAACAAAAAAGAAGAAAAAAGAAGAAAGTCTAAAACTCAACAAAGCCTGGCTCCCAGCACTGAAAAATATAGCCTGCAAAAAGGTCAACGAACTCTACCCAGCCACAAGGACCGGTGATCACTGCACACAAAAGACTAGCTAACAACACCCATCAATCACAGTGACAGATCTTCTCCCCCCTTATCACATAATTCCAGTCAGGCTTTAGGCCACGCCACAGTATGGAAACAGCATTGGTCGCCTGGTTTGATGACGTGCTGAGAGAGGCTGACAGGGGCAAAATGTCTTTGTTGGTCCTCCTCAATATCTCAGCCACCTTCGATACCGTCAACTACGGCATCCTCCTGAGGAGGCTCTCCGAGCTGGGAATCGGTGATCTGGCGATTGCCTGGCTCCAATCGTTCTTGGAGGACCATCTTCACAGAGTACAGCTTGGTGAGAGTGTCTCGGCCCCGTGGAACCTCAATTGTGGGGTTCCACAGGGCTCGATTATCTCCCCAATGCTGTTTAATATCTACATGAAGCCACTGGGTGGGGTCATCAGGGGGTGTGGGGTTTCGTGCCATCAGTATGCTGATGACACCCAGCTCTAGATCTCCTTTTCTCCAACCATGGTGGATGCCGTTCCGTCCCTTCAGTGCTGCCTGGAGGCTGTGCTGCAATGGATGCAGGAGACTGGACTGAAGCTGAACCCAGACAAGACTGAGGTCCTGAGGGTGGGTCGCCCCTCCATTGGTGGTTTGGGAAACTCCCTCTCTTTTTTAGGGGGTCTGCAATCGTAATGTCATCAAATCTCTTTTAGTTCCAAGTAAACATGAATATCACAGCAAGAACCCGGACAAGACGGAGGTCTTGAGGGTGGGTGGTCCTTCCATCAGAGGCGTGGTGACTCCCTCTCTTTTGGGGGGTCA